TTATTTCATACTTTGCCTAGGCATTCTATAGAATGACTAAAGCTGTTTAGGCAAAGTATGAAATAAGGTCATGATAAGGTTACTATATCAATGACGTACATTTCTAGAAAATACAAATGTTATTCTGATAAAATAATGAGAGTGTCATTAAAAAATTATTCAAAATACGTAAAGGAAGAAGATTGTACCAAACAAAATGTATGTCTTTCTTTTATTAAGGAAAACAAAATTTTCAAATAAAAAATAAGAACTTAAAATTAATCTAGTTATTGCAACATGTTAGGCTTGAATGGCATTTTAAATCACATTTTATTTCATTTTTCATGCAAAGACCATTCTTATTCTTTCAAATTTTATAATAATTCCTTTTGTCCAAATTTTGGAGATGTTTGTCAAATAAGGTCTATTGCAAATTTATGATCATTCAAAAATTGACAAACTTGTTGAGTAGTGCTGAGTGCCACTGATAACTGTAACGTGTGACATAGGTTGTCTACCCCTGCTATAGACCGTGACTCCTTCTCCAACACTACAACTTGCTTTTCCATTTTCATGCATTACAGGAAAAAACCAATTTTTTTGGTGAAAAAGTTGAAGTAAAATTAAATATTTTGACACTCCGAACAAACCACAATATGCAACTTACAAATTTTGAGCCTGAGGTCCGCGTTAAAAGTCTCGTGCCTTGCCACGCAATATTCGAAAGGAATCGGAGATGTATTTCATACTTTGCCGGTTTCTCATTAGGCATTCTATAGAATGCCTAGGCAATGTGTGAAATAAGAATCATTTCATATATTGCCGGCTTGTTTTAGGCATTCCATATAATGCCTAGGAATTCTATAGAATGCCGGATTTCATACTTTGCCGGTAACACACATATTGTATATATATAATCTTGTTTAAATTTTCAATCGTTAATAAAAAATTTCTAGTTATCCATTCACCTTCAAATACGCTTTTTTAAACTTGTAGTGGACGAAATTTTTTTTTCAAATATTAATTCATTAATTAAAATATAAAATGAATATATAGCAACAAAAATAATAGTCCAACAACATACATAAAAAGAAAAAACGCTCACTATGTACCTGTAGCGCGATGGATAGCACGTTGGACTTCTATTCCAAATGTCATGGGTTCGAATCCCAACTGGGAAGTCTAAATTTCTGAGAATGTGTTTCATGAATGAGAATAAATAGTAAACACACACACACACACAGAAGTGTTAGTCCAAAACCATACATAATAAGGAAAATTGCTTTCTATTTTGCCACTTAATAGTGTGATTCTGTCATATATATATGCACATATTTATATTAATTATAACTACATTTAATAAAAATTGAGTAAAATAAAAAATTTTTCTTTGTTGATCTAAGTAGGAATTGACTTTTTTAAAATATATTACTTGTTATTAATTTGATATCTGATTACTGACATTTTGAAATTCCATATACGACGAATGAATTAATGTCCCCCTTCCTCCCACTCCCCCAAAAAGCGTCATTGTTAGTTAAAAGGTTTTGATAGTTTATACTCAACAAACAAAGAGGAGAGAAAGAGTAAAACAAAAGCTTCAATTTCCGAAATGCAGATGCAGCCACTTCCATTTTCTAAAATTTGATGTTGATATTTCTCTCTTTCATAATCTCACAGCTCGAATTTCAATAAACCTAGATACAAAATTGAAAGAGATAACCTAAAATTTTTAGCATGGTATTAGTTGATGTTTTTGTCAAAAATCTATTGTGTCTGAAAATGACACATGATAGTTTCGTAAATATCTTAAAAACAATTACATTGTATTGGGTTGTTCGGTAACTAATTTTTTTTTTTTACCGACAGAGGATTTAATTGTATTTTTTCACCCAAACTTTACACTCATGTTGCATAATCCTTATATGTTTGATTGATTGATTGATTGATTGAATATTAACGTCGCACTCTTCAGCTTTTGACGACGGTCCACGTAATTTTGATCCATGGTCAAGTGATGTGGACGACGCCTGAGCTGCCACCCCCCTCTCCTAACTACGAGGGCTTTTGGCGATGGACCACGTAATTTTGAGCCATGGTCAAGTGACGTGGCGACACCTGAGCTGACACCACCTCTCTTAACTGCAACACCACACCACACTAACGGGAGGGCGTTTCAGCTCTCGACAGATTTAATGTGCATCACTGCCCTACACGGCGGGTCTTTAGTGGTACTGGGCTCGAACTCGTGACAATGTATGCCACGATCTATATGTTTTGAGAGCTGATATAGCAAACCTTGCTTGTGAAAAAGTACAATTGATTCTAGGCCAGTCTTTCTCAAACTGGGGGGTACGAGCTTATTGAAAAGTCGAAAACAAAATATTAGTTAAGAAAATTATTTATTTATGAAAAGTAATCAAACACACACAAAAATGCATTATCTGACATAATAAAAATAAAATTCACATTTAAACTAATATAATGCACTTATAAACGTATTAGTACTGTGCACAATGCATTTTATAATTAATTTTATAATACAAAATTAAAAACAAGTTTAAAAATTACCAGTGACCCCATGGGCTTTTCATATAGAAAATCATATCCAAAAATTAATATTTATCTCGATAATTTGTACGGTTTTTAATTAATCCCTTTATATACTGCCGGTTAAAAGTTACGCAAATCTCTCCCTAATGCCATCGTTTTCCACGCAGGCGCGCGTATGAGATGTATGGGGGGGGGGGGAAAAGAATAAATAAGCAAATCCTATGAAATAAATAATTCCTTCACAAACACTGTCAAGGTCCTTCTATTGCATTTCAATGTCTTCGAAAATATTTTATGGATAGCACTGTTCAGAAAAAATTGTACCATAGGTGTAGATCGTACCATAGACCAAAGACATATATTCGTCAGGGGCAATTATCTTTTTGGTTACCGAGACGTTTATATACGTCGGGAGCACGTAAAAGGTTTAAGTCGTTTTGTAGTTTTAGCGTCAAAGTATAGTATTATTGAACTAAATACATTGTTATTGTATGGAGGGGAAATGCTATGAAAATTATGACTGAATATTGGGTCTCTAATATTCAGAGTTTTAGAAGCTCTGTTCTAAACACTACTTTTTGGTTGGTTCCCTTTCACATATGGAGCATGAAAAAAAGCATTTTCGGCATATTTTGCTTTTTTAACAGGTTTTTTAGCTTCATCTGTATAACGGAATCATTGAACTAGATTATTTTTTCCCACTTTAAAAGGTCAGGCTATTTTGAAGTTTTACTAACTTGTCAAGGACCGATGACAATACAATTGTTTAAGAATTTTGTTTCATTGTCCCCATCAGGATTAACGGTTTCCCATTTCCAGATTTGACAGCTAATTCCATATTTGGCCACTAAAAGATTAAGTTACAATCCTAATGTGAAAACGCTCATGGTTAATACAAATCGTGATCATTTTAGGGAAAAATATCATTATAATTTTTTTTTATACCTTCTTCCACATTAAATGTTTCAAACTTACCTCTTCTAGATTTTTTTCAGCTTGTTGAAAATACGTTTTACAAAACCAGACCGTATCGACGCACTAATAGGATGCCAATGGGTGTTCCAGATTCTTTAAGATTTAATTTGTCAATGAATAAATGATAGTTCAAAACACTAAAAAAAACACGTTTTTATTGTAGATCGAACTAAAAAAATTTTTAAAAAAATTATTGCTTAAAAAAAACTAAAAAGCACGCTTTTATAGTGAATCGAACTAAAAAATACTTCTTAATATAAGAATAAAATGACTAAAACGAGAAAATTAATGTCATTGTGGTAAAAGCGTGGAGTACTTTGTACTACATCTTTGAACTATAACTCTGCATTTCGGAGTAGAACTAGTAAGAAATTATAAAAGTTGATATCGCGCACTCCACACTTTTTAACATTAAGAACATTAATTTTCTCGTTAATCATTTTATTCTTATATTAAAAGAATTAGTTTTTATTTTGATTATTTATAGAAACGTGTTTACTAGTTTTGTTTTTTTAAATGTAATTTATTTCTATTGAAAAGACAAAAATGCTGTTCAAGAAAGAAAAAAATTAGCCCATGTGTAAGAAGATGCATTGACAGTACGCCAGTGTAATAACTGGATTCCAAAATTTCTATCCTGCAATTTTGATATTGAAGATGCACTCTATTCCAGAAGGCCAGTTGAAGCTGATAAAGACAGAATAAAGGCATTAGTTGGTGCAAACCATCAAATAACAACTCGTAATAGCTCAGAGGTGGAATTTATTGAATTCAACAGTCCATAACTACTTGAAAAGCCTAGGTTTAATCTCATAGCTCGGCATATGGTTTCCTCATCTAAAGGAAAGAAATTTGTGTCGTCGTGTTCATGCTTGTGATTAGCTTGTCTAACGTCATGAAAATTATTCATTTTTGAAGCCCATTAACACTGGGGACGAGAAAAAACAATAACAATATCAATCAATGCCAATAACAATATCAATCGCAAGCAATTATGGAGTAAAAAAAATGAACCAGCTCAAAGCATTTTGAAAGCCAATACTCATAAAAACAAGTAATATAAAAATAAAAAAATTGTCAATTCCTACTTAGATCAACAAAGAAAATTTTATTTTAGCTACTTTTTATTAAATAGTTACAATTAATATAAATATGTATATACATAGGACAGAATCACAACATTGTTTTAATTAATATTTATCAATTATCATTAAAATATCGTATTGTCATCCAAAACAACCGGTATATAAAATTTGAGTTCAACTGAATGCTTTAAAAAGTAAGAAAAAACCTTTTCAAGTTTTGATGTAAGTCGTCAAAATGGTCGTTATGTCGCCAAAAATGATGCCAACGTGGCTGTATTTATTTTCTTTAAATAATTAGTTTTAATCAATTAATTCTTATTAATTATAGTTAAATGATTGTATTGTCATCCGAAATAATCATGAATATAAAATTTAATCTCAATAGAGCGCTTTAAAATGTATTTTATTAACGATTGAAAATTCCCCCAAGATAAATAAATAAATAAATATATAGAGAGTGTGAGCTAATAGTAGGAAGTGTGAAAAAGGTGATGCTATTTTTATGGTGGGATTTCAAAGGAATTTTTTTTTCTAGCTTTTACCGGACAACGCAACGGTTAATTCTGAAGTTTACTGTTAACAGCTGAATAAACTAAATGAATCATTTAAACGATAAGGGATTGTTATGATAGTTAGGAGAGGTGGTGGCAGCTCAGATGTCGTCATCGTCACTTGACCATGGTTCAAAATGACGAGGTACGTCACAAAAAACCCTCGTGTAGCTGAACAGTGTGACGTTAATATTCATTCACACACTTAACGATAAAGGCCAGAATTGATCAACAGAAAAGTGTAGTGTTCCACCAAGATAATGTGAAATCTCATACGTTTGGTCACTCGTCAAAAGCTTTTACAGCTTGAATGGAATATACTGTCACACCCACCATATTCTCCTGATCTGGCACCTTTTGATTATTTATTCCAGACTCCATAAATTATTTAGATGGTAAAACCCTTACTTCAAGTGAGAAGAAACACCTGGATCAGTATTTTACCATCAAATAGCAAAAATTTTAGGAGGGCCACGATACTGCCTGATAGATGGAAAACGGTATTGGACTATTATGGATAACTCTATAATTTAATGGATACTATATAATTTAATAAAATATTTACTTACTATATGCAAAATGTCTTATTTTCACACACGAAAAAATGAAATTTCTTTCCGAACAACCCAGTAGTATTGAAATAGAGATTTTTTAACAATGTACATAAAACACATTTTTAATTCAAAATGCTGGTTAGTTTTGGAAGAAAATGCCTGTTTCAATTAGTTTCAGTGACTACGTAAAGAGTTTTTCAGAGTAAAATGCGTATAATACCTTTAAAAGAGTTTTTAAATTTACCGAAACTCCCTCAGGGAATTGGATACACTACTCTTTGTGAAATAAATGTAATAAAACTACATTGGTTTAGTCTAAACTATTACGAGAGAATACCTACGCTGTAGTAATAGTTAACTAGTTTTTTCAGTTAGTAGCTAAAAAGATTCCAAAATGATATACTTTATTTACAATAGTCACTTCACGTTCGGATTGAAATCATTATAAAGCCACTATTATTTC